TCTGCAAGATCAACAGCCAACCTCAGGAAGCACCAGGGACCTCCTCCCCACCCCGACCGTCCAACCCTGAGCTACCCATACAGGTAGTCCTCAACTTACGACCCCAAGCCAGCCCAACATTTATGCTGCCAAGCGAGACCTTGGTTAGGTTTCCCTGCATTTTATGACCAGCCTTGCCACATTTGGTCAAGTGAATCACTGCGGTTGTTAAATTAGTAACCCTGTCCTTAAGTGAATCTGTTTTTTCCCCCCTTTGACTGCTTGCTGGGAGTCGATCAGGCGACCCCGGCTCCCTGCGTCACAACTACGAGTCCGAATGCAAAATGTAAAACCACGGGGACCCTGCGACGGTCATTAGCTGTGAAAAAGGGTCCCAAGCCCTTTAGTTTTTATCACTAAGTGAAGTGTCGTAAGTTGGGGACCACCTGTGTTCCCTTCTATCGGTTCAGAGATTCCGATTTTGACCCGTGGGCCCCGATCCGTGTTGGGAAAAGGGGTGAGAGATGCGTTCCGGTTTTTTTTTTTTGTTATACAGTGTTTATTAAGTAGATTCAGTCTTATATGATATACAGACTCCAAAAAAAAAAAAAAAGTATTCCACATACTTATGAAATCAGTGCATTTTAGCAAGTAATAATACCATGAAATGGAAAGGAACCGCTTTGATTTAAACAGCTCGTTGGTCTTTTTTCTTTTTTTTCCTTTTCTCTCTTTTTTTCTTTTTAAGTGAATAGGACGAGGAGATTGGCCTGTGCTACTCAAATTTCACAAACAGAACAGAATTAAGTCGCGTCACGTAAAAACCAAAACACTTGCGAGCTAAGAATTAAAATATTAAAGCCACGTTTACTGGGAAGAAGGAGAGAGGGAAGGGGGGAAAAATAATAAAATTAAAAAGGATCCACTGTCTAGAACAGCCCCCCCACCCCCCAAAAATGGGGATGGGGTAGGAGAACAAAAGAATAAGGTTTTCATCGGCACGTCGAGGAACGGGGTAGGGGATAAAACCACAACAAGAACAACAACAAAACCCTCATCTGCTTAGAGAGGGCCACGTGAAAATTTGCATAGGTTGCCCGTTAGGAAGGGAGGAAGAACGAACGAAACGAAGGTTTCTGACGGATTGGCGCAGGGGGGGGAAAGAGTCACCTTCGCCCGCTGCTTTTAAGTGCCGTGGGGTTTTCTCTCCTCTCCCCATCTTTGGGGAAAGGAGCGAATGGCGTTTGTCTTGGGTCAGCTCTGTAATGGCTACCGTAGCTTTGGCCACCCCGCTTCCCGGCGGCCTCGCAGGCCACTCGCGACGTCCGCTCGACTCTCCCGCGGTTTTGGGCCAGCAGGTCCGTGTGGGTTTACGAGCGCCGGGTTCGCCGAGCCGCTCCTTCGTAATAAAAGAGAGGCGATATTGTGGCCTGGCCCTTGGCTTGAAAACTCGGGGTGTCCAGCCCCGACCACTTTTTCTTTTAAAAAAGGCTTTGTGTCCTTCAAACTCCCTGAATGTGCTGACCGTTTTTTGTTGGTTTTTCTTTCATCCGTAACCCCATATTGGCCTGTGTTACTACTCTCTTATGGTCCTTTTTTCTCTGCCATCTCTCCACCGTAAGGAGTGGGAGGGTGAAACCGAAAAAAAAAACCCCAAAACCAGGCCGGGAAATTCGGAGAGTCCAGAAGGGGTTAAAAGCTGCCAAGATCGGACATCCCTGGCATTTAGCCATTCAGGGGACAAAAGTGGACGGCTACTTAAAAAAAAGAAAAAAAAAGAGCCCCTTCCTAGCAGCCCAGCCCAATGGGCATTTTTTGGGGGTGGGGGGATGAGGAGGGCACAGGTGAATGGATCTGTGGCCGCGCTAAGCAGATGAGGCAAGGAGTTGAGGTGGGTTTTCCTCGCTCGAGACGAGGGTCTCGCCAAACACAAGAGGGGAGCGCCGGGAGTTTTCTGTACATGTAAACAGTACACTTTCACTGAGTCCAAAGTCAGAGGAAAAAAAGTACAAAGAATTCACATTGGTCTTAGGTACAATACAGGTGAAGAAGAAAGAAGGAAACAGATCCGCTTGGAAAACGACCACCGAGAGAGAGAGAGAGAAAGAGATAAACAGAGAGAGAGAGAGAGAGAAAAACAACTCTTTTTTTTTTCTTTCCTTTTCTAAAAGCACCACGAAAATGGTATAAAAAATCATTTCAGACCATGGACAAGATTGTTTAAATCGGGTTTTTTTTTGTTTTCCCCACCCCCTTGGTGGAAATCGCTAAGACTACCTTTGTAAAAAGTCGTTTACAAAAACAAAATACAAAGCAAAAAAGTTGTATTTTTTTTTTTCAACCCTCTGAGTTCAAATGAGCAGCATTTTTCTTTTTTTTTCGCCTGGGAAAAGGACCAGTAGATCGGGGGGGGGGTGGCCAGGGGGGGGGGGGGAGGGGGGGGGGGTTTTTTGGGGGGGGGGGTCTCTTTTCTGCGGGAATGCCTTTCCCCGGGGGTCCAAATGCTGTGTCGGAGAGCGGGAAAGGGGACGCCCACCTGAGAGCCAAGTGCCAAGAGGGCAGTGGCCGAGCCCCTCCCACAGAGGGTCTTCTGGTGGGGACAGAATCCAGGAGAGACACACACCCCCACCCCGGCCCAGGCGCCCCGAGAATCTTAGAAAAAAACATGGCTTGTAGAATCGACCTTTTCGGATCCAGAGAGGCATGGCTAAGTCAAACTTCAAGGCGGGGCTGCGAGTGCCACCTCTTGATGGTCTCGGGGAGCCCCTTCGGAGCCCCAAACTTGTAAAATGGGGGGCGGGGGGGAGAGAGAGAGAGAGAGAGAGACAGAGGGAACCACCAGAGTTAACCCCGAATTACATCAAGGTTAGCAGTCTACACCTGCGTCCGGTCTGGGACACCGGCCACCCCTTCCCCGCCAAAAATTGCACGGCCGTTTTCCACCACTACCCCCACTCCTCCCCAAATCCTGATGTGCCCCAAATTGGAGATTTGGGGGGCAGCGGGGGGAAAAAAAAAACAGAAAACCTTCATGTGTTTCGGGACGGCGATTGTCTCTGCCGCTGTTACACACCCTAAGGATTTTTCTTTTGCACAAGGGTGGTGGCGCGTCAGGCCTGGCACGAGTAACTATTTACACGAAGTTGGGGAGGGGGACCCTTGGTGACGGGAGAGGGGGAGATCGGAGGGTCACATCAAGGGGGAAGGGATCGGATTGCACCCTGTCCTTCCCCAGGTAAACATCCCTTAACAAAGCCTTGTGGGGGGGAGGGGGAGGCAGGCGGTCTCAGGTTCAAATCCCAGCCCGATTCTGGAGCACCAGAGAGAGGGAAGAAGGTAGATGGGCTTAGAATAGGAGTCTCCAACCTGGGCCGTCTTAAGCCCAGTGGACTCCGACTGCCAGAATTCTGGGAATCGAAGTCCGGCGGGCTTAAGGCGGCCGAGCTGGCTTACGAGAAACCTACATGGAAAAAGATACCGGCTGCAGGCCTTGCCCGTTAAGCCAAGAATCCAGCCTTCGTGCCCTCGGCCCAACCTCGCAGGGGTGGCGCTTTCCTTTGGGACAGAGTGGGGGAGGGCAGGTGGTGTAGGGCGGGGCGAGAAGGAGGCCGGGTCCGGGGGGTGGGTCTCTTCTGGTGGGTCGCTGCTTTTATTTATTTACTTCTTTACTCAAAAATCACCTCCGTCCCGATATATATATATATATATATATATATATATATCGCACGGTCAATATTGCACTGAGCAAAATAGCAAGTGCATTTGCATTTTCCGGGGGGTTGGGGAAGGTTAGAGGAGGAGGAGGAGGAGGAGGAGGAGGAAGAGAAAGTAAGTGGGGGGGCTTGAACCCGTTGCACGCACAACCCTCCCTCGCCCCCCAAAATAACCAAGGCTCTGGCGGGACCGTCGGATGCCTCTGCTTTTTGTGACTCCCAATTGGCGCCCGAACACCGCCGTCCACACGCTTTCCGTTCTGGGGGTGCTTTCTCTCTCGCATGCCTTGCAGCCAGGGGCCACTTCGGGCTCCTCGAAAGAGAGCCAGGGCCGGCAAGAAGCACCCAGGAGTGAGGTAGAGTGTGGAGGAGGAGGAGGAGGAGGAAGGAGGAAGGCCGGGAAGCTGCAGCTGCTGCTGCTGCTACTACGGAGCTTTGCCTCTCAAACGAGTCCTTGCAATTCCTCCCAACAAGACGGGCTTTGGGGTACCCGGCGTGGTTCTCCTCCCCACCCCCGGCCCCAGCCAGGCAAAAATGAGGATCGAGTAGCCCAAAAGTTGGGGGGAAAGGAATCCCCCCCACCCCCAAATAAAAACCTTGAAAACAAAGACAGCTTCCAAGCCTGGCTGGTCCTTTCGGCGGGACGGCCAGTGGAGAGACGGTGCAGGATAAAACTTTCCTTCCCTCACGGAGACAGAGAGAGAGAGAGAGACACACACACGCACAGAGAGAGAGAGAGACAAAATAAAAATGGCAATTCTGTACAAACTCAAGAATGCTTGGGGTTTTTTTTGTTTGTTTTTTTTTGCTTTTTGTTTTTTAGAAAAAAAAATAAATTATAGGGAGGGAGGACGAACGAACGAGGGGCGCTGGCGGTGCATTTCTCAATAAATAATGCAATTCCGAAAGACGGAGAAAAGGGACGGGGAGGAGAGGATGAAAAAATAAAACGAGAGCGGGTGAGGGAAGAGGGCCCTACCGTTTGCCGGGCTCGGCGAGGACAAAATCCTGACTCTGCCAGAAGTGCTCTGCCAGCCTAATTCCCCCTCCTGCTCTCTCCCCCACCCGTACCCCCAAACCCACGGTGGTCCCCATCTTTCCAGGCTGCAAGGTTGACTCCGGAGTTGGCAGAGGGCGCCGGCATGGTCGTCTTTCGAAGGCAGAAGGGCTCCCGGGAGGGGGCGCTTCCCCCCCCCAACCAACGTGGGCTCCAGGTCGAAGAAGAAGGATCTCTCGGGGTGTGTGGAGGGGGGTGTGAGGGGGGGGTCAGGTGCGGGGGTTGGGTCTCCAACCTGTGCCGGCGGGGGGCGGTCGGTCGGTGAGAGAGGCAGAAGATCGGCCAGTCCTGAGCAGATTTATCACGAAAGTCTGGTGGACAACAAGTCTCTTCCGGCACAGGAGCCCCAGGGTGGCCAGCAGTCAGTTCTGCTGTAAAATGAGGTTTTCCAGTTCGTCTGCCGAGCGGAGGAGGAAGGCGGCCGACTCCCGGTAGCCGGCGATCAGCTGCCGGACGGCGCTGATCTCGGTCGGGCTGAGCTGGGCGGCCGGCACCCCCCGGTTCGTGCTGTTGGCTGGCGGGGTGGTGCTGGACGTTCCGCTTTTCATGCTGAGGTCAGTGGGGCCTGCAAAGGGGAGGAGGAGGAGGAGGAGGAGGAGGAGGAGGAGGAGGAGGAGGAAGAAAAACAGAGGTGTCAGGTAGAACCAGATTGTTGGGGGCCAGAGGCTGACTCTGTAAACCGCTTAGGGAGGGCTCCTTCCTTCCTCCCTCCCTCCTTCTCTCCTTCCTTCCTTCCCTCCTCCTCTCTTTCCTTCCTTCCT